AAACAATTTTTTTTACCGTTTTTTGTGCTTTTTGTTTTTTTTTGGGAAAAAAAGGTAAAAGACTTTTGTTTTTTTGTTCAGCTTTTAAAAAAACGTTTTTAAGCTTTTGCCTTTTCAAAGTTTTTTTGAAAAAGTGTCCCCTTTTTTTATTCGTTTTGTTAGAAAAAAAAAAAAAAAAACATTTTTTCGGAAAAAAAAAGCCCAAAAAAAAAAACGTGTTTTCCACTTGAAAAAAAAAACCTTATTTTTTTATTTTTTTTTTTTTTACAAACCCGGTCGCGGCCAGGCCAGCAGGAAAAAACACCGCTTTGGGAATTTGGAAAGGAAGAAAGGTTAACGTTTGGTCTGATTAAAAGCGTTTCCAGTAAATGTTGGCCTCTTTTTTAAAGTTTTCCTTGTCCTTTCATTGATGGTTCTGTCAAGGCTAGCACTGGCAGCCAGCAGTCGGACCGGCAGACCACCAGGGCCTCCAGACATGACTGACCCAGGGCTGCTGCGCAGACCCTGTACAAACTGGAACTTGGGGGCTGGCCCAGGAACCCAGAGCTCTCACCTGGGGAGGTTGTTTGTTTGTGCGCTGCGCCTTCAACCGAGTTATGCTGGGAGTGGTATAGTGTGGCACAGAGAGTGGTACACAGTTAGATTCATCTTAATTCAGCAAATTAGAGCAGATGAGATGTACGTTTTGCTGCGTTTGTGTACCGGAGATGTAGCTGGTTTTCTGATTATATTAGTAAAATAATGTGTGCTTGCTGTACAAAACCTTTGATTTGATTTAAATAGATCCGGAATTCTGATTAATATTGGTGAAATTAATGTTCTGATGTCTATATGTGATGCGATGCATTCAGTATGGTACAGATAGTTACTGATAAGGCCTTTACTAATAGTTATATCTAAATACTTTTTTTATTTTATTTACCAATGCAGAGATGTTCGAAACAATGCATCCCAAGTTCATCCCAAATGGTATGCGATGCACGCTTTTTTAATCAGTGCAATCGCATCTTGAACTTTTTAGTTGGTGAATCTTACCATCCCTAGTGACCAAATTTTGAAAATATTACTAATGCCACAAAAAGTACAAAATCTGCATATAGCTGTTTGTAAATATCATCCATTGATATCATCCCCCTCCAGCATGCCTTGGTCTTGAGCACTTAAAGCTTGTAGGCATGTGTGTCCCATGCCTGATCATTCCTAACACACACTTAACCCTGGCTTGATGCACACTTTTTCTAATACCACTTTAGACAGATATTTAGATGACTGTTAGTGTAAGTGTCTCACAATTCTCCCACAATTGGTGCTAATGAGTGTATTTTTATTATTTTACCACCGTTAGTAATCAACGTTAAGTTGAAGTGATACACTCTGTATCACATGTTGGATTCAGACAAGGTGATGACACAGGGGCCTCAAACTGCAGGCCCAGGGGCCATTACCTGCCCTCCACCCCCCTCCCTCTGGCCTGCGACATGATGTCAAAAATATCTGTCTATAATCCTGTCCGCAAGATTATTGCTATTGCATGTTATTATTTCTAGTTGTTATATATCAATTTAAACTACCCCTCCATATAGTACAAGCTGATCTAGTACAATTCAAATAAAAACACAATACTATTTTTGTATTTTGTTTGCCGCAGAATGCTAATTTGCAGAATGGTATTATTGTTTATATATTTTTGTTTAATATTTATCTTCTCAAATTCTCTTGTTATTCTTCATGGCAACAAACATAGGGATCTAAAAAAAAAACTGAATGCTTTACTTTGAACGAGTGAAAATCAAACCAATATAAAATGTACTGCCTGGTGTGGTTGCCTTTGCTCTGCTTCTAGGTGACAGTGTGCCCAAGGTGCTTGTGTTCACTACAGATGGAGATTTTCTCATGTCCTGGAACACAACCACCCTGGAGATGCCTCATGGGATATTTGTAGCAGACGCTGCCTTGTCAAACCCCACTTTGTGGATCACAGATGTGGGGAATGGTCCATACGGCCACTGCATCAAACAGTACTCACCATCTGGGAAGCTCCTGCAGGTAATGACTTTGATTTGTCATTAAAAATCCATGATTCAGGTTCTACTAGCTCGTTTTCCATTTAGGTATTTAGTCTAATATATATAGAATTAGAAAAGCCAACTGAAACCAAACATTGCTTGGTTTTTTAATATTTTCTTGTATTTTTCAGGTGCTTGGTACACCGGGGAAACCAGGCTCTGGGTTGAACCCTCTGCAGTTCGACCAGCCGGCTGAGATCTTTGTCCATGACTCTGGAGAGATATACATCGTAGATGGTGATGGTGGGATGAACAACCGCCTCATCAAGCTGTCCAAAGACCAGGAAGTGTTGTGGATGCATGGAGAGAAAGGCTCAGGCCTGGCTCAGTTCTACATCCCTCACAGCGTGACCGTGGACAATGCCCAGAGGGTGTGGGTGGCCGACAGGGGGAATAAGAGGATCCAGGTTTTTAATTCCATTACCGGGGACTGGCTGGGGACATGGGGGAGCTGCTTCACTGAGGACGCGCCTTACTCTGTCCGCCTGACCCCAGACAAGAAGTACTTTGTCGTTGTCCAGCTCAACACCAACCAGATTTCGCTCCTGGATGCCCCACCGGTGGGTTTGATTGGCCAGTGCAGAGTGGTCAGTGTTATCCAGCTGGCTGAGGAAATGAAGCCCCACCTGGTAGACCTGGACCTGAAAACAGGGGCCTTGTATGTGGCTGAGATTGGAGCTCAGCAGGCCCAGAAGTTCACTCCCTTCAGTCTGGGTGGGAGTTTCCTGTAGAACCACACTGGGCCTTAACTAAAGAACTGAAATGGCATGATTGACCACAAACAAACAAAATCATATCATAAGCATTACGAAGTATTTAAAAGTGGAACCAAAATGTGCATGGGTTATGTAATTCAGAAACAAATCATAAAACCATTTTCAGTACAGTGAACCTTACTAAAAAGATAAGACGTCTAAGATGTCTGAGGTAGATAAAAATAGTATTGTAACACTTTGTTTAAATAGTCTGCCTACAAATGTTTTTTTGCCATCTGGATCTGTTTTTTACAAAATAAGGGACTGTCTGCAAAGTTACAAAATGTTCATACTAAACGCAGTTTCAAAAAAACGCAAGTAGATAGATAGATAGATAATAGGGAGTAACAGCTCATACTCAGTACAACATATTTCTTTTGTTTTCTTACAATATCTCTTAGCAAAGAAAGCAGGATTATTGTTTCTGTGGTGAACACATGGGTAATAATTTTTTGTTTGTTATTTGTGGTTTATGAAGTTGTGTGCCATTTGTATTTTTCTTGACTTTGCACTGCTTGAAAAGACAAGAGCTTCTCCGAGGCAGAGCTTTTTCCTTTCTTTACCACAGACACTTTAAACTCTTTTGTGCTTTTGCCAGTTTATGGCTGTTTTTAAATACAGTTGTATGATTATACATGTATACAAGGCTAGAGCTGAACTGTTTTGCACTTGAGCCTGACCGATATTATCAGCTGATATTGGCCTGTTGCAGACA